TGACTCACAGACTACCACCATCTGCTGACCTGGGACCTGCAGAGCCCAGAGAAGTCAGAGCCCAGTCACTGAGTCATGACTTCAGGGTGCAGCACGGTCAGGCCCGACCCCTTTGCTGCCTTGTCTCCAGCCTCACATTTGACACGTGCACTCTCCAGGCTGGGGAGGTGTAGGAAGTGCCGGAACTGTTGGCTGAACTCTAGATCCCCACATTCGTTTTGCGAAATGGTCACTGATGCACCACGATTTTTTAAAAAATTTTTTTATTGTGATTTGGGTGAAAATTCACAGAGCAAATTCATTTTCCATATAGCAGTTCTTTGCTTAAGAATTCACCTATGGAACAACCCCCCCACACACATGCACACACACATTTACACATGTGCTGGAAACATTCATTAACACCACTGAACAGTCAGGAAGCACAGTTTGAACACAGATGGGAGGGTTGACGTCTTTAGTAAACATGCCGGGATTTGTATGTTTCTTCTCACAGCAGGAGCACTGCACAGTCAGACTTACTCTATCGGCACTGCTTTTGTTCCCAGCTCTTCGGAATCCCTCTTCGGGACCCCATCCCAGTGTGGTTAACACCCTTGTGTGCGACATAACCCTTTGCAGCTGGGTTCAGATCTGGAAACGAGGGGACGTGCACACGAGTTGTCTCCCTCCCTGCTGACGCCTCCTCCCAACCTCCAATCTGGACAAGCAGGTGGGTGAGCAAGGTCTCTCTCTCTTCTCTGTCTCTGTCTCTTCTCTCGATATCTCCCTCTGTGTGTGTGTGTGTGTGTGTGTGTGTCTCATTATCTTTCTCTCTCCTCTCTGTCTCTCTTTCTGTTTTTTCTTCTTTGATCAAAATAGGCTTCACTGAAGATACAGCCTGTGTCAGAGGGTTTCCATGGCACATTGCAGAACTACTGAACCAAAATGTGCTCCTTTTGCCTCAACCATAATCTCCCAAACACTATATAATTTCTACCAAATAAGTTACTTGTGTGGCCTTCTGTGATAAACCAGGCAGGAACAATAGTCATGTTGTCAAAGAGACAAATCCTAAACTGGCTTTGCTCGGGGTGTTCAGTGAGCCCCTCATCTCAGCACTTGGATCCACACTCCCCTCTAGAGACTGTGGCAGCTTCACCTTGTCCTAACTGTGATGAAATGTCACTTGGTCAGCAGCTATGATTGATTTTCTCAAAACCTGTCTTGTCGTCCTTGCAAAGTTCAGAATGTCAACTTTTCTTTTTTCTGTTTCTCTCTCAAAGGGTGAGGCCCAATCTTCTTGTCTTCGTTGTTTTTGCTAAACAACTTTTTCAAGACTCAAATTTTTCTTCTCAATTATTTTTCTCACAAATGAGCCATGTATTGGAATGAGCCAGATCTCTGTCCACTGAAATGCTCCCAAGGGTCCTGGTGTGAGCCATTGTGTACTTGAAGCACCATCCAAGGTATCTGACTACCTTCCATGAACTCCTCAGGCCAGTAAAACTCTTGCCAACCCTAGAACATCATTGTTTTAAGCTCCTTTTCACAGGTCCAGATTCACATACCCATAAAAAATTTGACATTAGTTTTGGGGTCTAAATAATGCTCACCTGGGCAGAATAGACAGACAGGCTACATTGACCCTCTTCAACAAAGAAAAGAGAAACCAATTGACAGAGACACAGGAGATAATCCTGGAGCCCTGAGCTTTGAAAGGAAGGATACAGAAGTGGATTAGGCAACAACTAGTGGAAAAACCTGAATGAAAACAGTGAGTACGGAGACGGTCAGAGCAGTGGACTGTCAGCTACTCTGATGGGACCAACAGCTTGTATATTTCCAAGTGGTGTTGGGACCTGAGAATTGAGCTAAAGATCAGCCCTGGTTGCCAAGGTCTAAAG